GGCCGGGCGGGTGGGGGGCACCCCGTCAGCGGGCGGGAACGTCCCCGAGGGCCGCAGCCTGCCCCCGTTCCCCCCAGGAATGGCATTTCGGGGGTAGAGCGTGGGTCGAAATGGGCGGCGGGCCAAGCTCCCCAACACGCTGATCTGTGAATTTACTCGGCCCCGTACAGTCACATTCCGTGATCTCGTCCTGGGACTTACAGGAAGAAATAGATCTATGGCTAAGGTTAGAAAACAAATAGGTTTATATTTTATGACGGGTAACGTATTTCTAGCAAAATAGGAAATTAGTTCGGGCAGGCTTTTAGGAACATTGATGTCCTCCAGAAAACCAGCTCGTAACTACTCAGCCGGTGCTGTGTGCTGCCTTTTTTATTTTTTTTTCCACACGCGTTGCTGACCTTATCCTGGCACAGTCACCAAAGGGAGAAAAAATACATAACACTTGGGTTCAATTTTCAGCTCCTGTACGACACAGCAGCGGACATGGGAAGAGAATGTTTATTATCAAGGCAACAAGTTTTTATGATACTCGGTTTCTGAACTTGTTGGTGAGTTAAAAACAAATTTATTTCATTCAGTGTAACGCGTCCCTTGCAAATCGCGTAAGAGCGTCTGAAATACGATTTCCTCTGTTGTTTACGTGACAGCGTCTAAAATGTGGTTGGCACTATTCACATAAACAAGAATTGCCAGTCCTCCTCCTAAAGCATTTTTTGTCAGAATTCTGTTGTAAAATCTGGGCCAGGTGAAGTAAAAAGATGGGCTAAATGGCAAAGGTGGTGATAGGTACTTAAATTAATGCTGTAGGAGTGTTCTTAAATTATGTGTCTGTGATCATATATGTGTAACCTACAAGTGCTTTCCACTCCATCCTCCTTTTTAACACGTGTTAGGTTACTCTCCTGCGGGGTTTGCCTTCAGTTACCTAAACCACTAATAGCAGAGATTAGACTTAGGAAGCCTGACCCCTCAAAGTTAGGAAGTTCAGCGCCTAAAAAGCTGTGTTTCGGATAAAGCCTATTCCGATGGGTAACAGCCCGCTTGATCCAGCTCCCCTCGTGTGATGGGGCTTCCTTTATCCGCCTTCCGCAGCTGCCAAAGCCAGCTGCGGTGGTATTCATGTTGTATTATATTGCGTTGGTGTTAGCACCTCGTTACAGTGAAATGCTGAAGCCAGCCATCGCAAGATGCTGCGACAGCATTCAGGGAAGGCGTTACTGTCTGCCTCTGCAGAGGCTGACCCCTCTGGGGGACTGAAAGCTGAACTCAATAGGCTCATGGCCTGACACAGCATCGCTGTTTCTGTATTCTAGTTTGTTAATTAGCTCGTTTTCAGCAGCAATATGTCTTTACATACAACATCCCTATCTAACCTATGAATGCAGATCTAAGAATTCTTGGCTGTTACGTCATTTTCAGACTAACCTCATCTAAATTTTGTCAGGCGTCTGAGATTCCCATGCTGTTTCTTTTTCTTTTTATCCCCTGTACAGAGATTCTATGTATTTCTGACGGGAATACCAGTGGCGCTATTCATAACATATGTCAACATCTTCATTGGTGAGTACTCTGTCAGGACGAAGCTAGCACACAGGCAAAGTCATTAAATGGAAACTAAGCGTGCTGGGTAGAAAAAAGAGATCTTTTAAGGCTTGCTCTTTGGAAGACCGTGAAATAGGCCTAACAGTTGCAGTAATATTGTATAAGTACGTAGAAGATGTTCCCAGTATTTTTATTCTTCTGTAGTTGTTGCTATTTTTTTTAAAAAGCTTTCCACATTTTTAAAAGAGGAAAAATCGCATCTTTTGGCAGTCTTTCAAACATCAGTGAGGTTCAGTGGACAGTTCTTCTGTATTCAAATGAGGAGTCGGTATTACCTTGTTTTATATGCATCTTTAAGAAGGCTGCATACACTGCAACTGTTGCTTTTTATCTAGCAAAAAAGCCAAAATTCTGCTTGGCAATACGTGTTTTTAATCTACTACTGTAATAATATGGAATTAATTTAATAGAGAAATGAGGAAAAATCCATGCTTTCAGCTCATATGCTTTAAAGGGCATTTCTGTGGATTTGGTCTTAGTTATTTCTTCTGCATAGCTGCAGATTTCACCCTTCTGTTGCGTGGCTTGAAGTCTATGAGCTGAATACAGGCAGTGAAGTGTCTGGAAAAATTACAAGTCCGATTTTTCTGAATAGAGCTCAGATTGAGGGATTAAGTACTCTCCATGTGAAATAATGATCTTTTCTTCGTGTGAAAGGCAGAATATAAGGCACTTTTAAAAAAAAAAAAAAAAATCTTGTATGAAATGTTCCTTCCCTCCTTTCCTTGTCAGGTGAAGCTGAACTTGCAGAGATTCCCGAAGGTTATATTCCAGAGTACTGGGAATACTACAAAGTGAGTGTAACACATAAAAGGGTGGCATGTTATGGGCAGCCTTCCCCTTGAGGATACTTTTGGGAGTAAAATGTGTGGAGTATGATAACGAGGATGGCCGTATCCCTGCCATTGGGTATCCGTGTAGTAGAACTCAAATTGTGCAGTTATGATTTTGGTAAACTTGCTTTTTTTTCAGCTTTGTGGAACATGCGTGTTGCTGTAGGAAATCTGTTTATTGACACAAGTAGATGCAAATGATCTGTAGCTTCATGCAAGTAAACTGCTGAAGCTATACGCCAAGAGTTCTTTTGTAATATTCCTAAATAGTAAGAACAGCCTTCTGTTCTCTTTGTTCCTCGCATGCAGTTTTTGTCTTTGTTTCTTGCTCTGGAACTACAACATCTTAAGACGCTGGAGTTTAAAAAGTGCCATTACTCTCTTCTGTATTGTTTGCTAACGTTGTTTGAAAGTCCAACATCACACATGCTTTTATATCTAGAATTGAGGATTTTTATAGTCAGAAACTCAAGGTTATACTTTTTTTGTTTCATTGTATTTTCTTAAAATTAGTCCCTGGCTTCTTGCTGCAAGCGCTTTTTTGTTTTTGATAGGGAGCAATTGAATTCAGCAATACTGTTATGACTGTTTCAACTCATTTAGACTGTTGTTCCCAGTGAAATGACCTCTGTGTGGAAGCAAAACTTTAAAATGTTACTGATTACAGTAAGAGGTTTGGAGTCCATTTCTATGATTACAGTGGCAGTTTAAGGAACTTTACTTCAACAGAAAGAAAATAAATCACATCTTCCATTACCTTTTAGTTTTGCTACAGAATAGTCATCTGCAGGTTATCTTGGCATTAGAAATGGCAAAAGAAATACAGCTTTTTAGGGTTCTGATCTTACAAATAGTTGAGCGTGTTTTTTAACTTTACTATTGTGGTTTGAATGGCAGCACCCATAGTGTTGACGTTTTCAGGACTGGGAAGGTGCAAAATGATTTAGTTATGATGACGTTTCTACTTGGAAATTGCATGAATAATCTCCGCTTTTCTATTTTCCAGCACCCTATAAGTCGCTGGATAGCTCGTTACTTCCTTGACCCCCCTGAAAAGCACTACGAGAAAGAGATGGCTGTGCTTGATGTTGAAGCGAAGAAAACTGAACTGAGGTATGTTATAGAGTTGAGGGGTTTAAAATACCGATACAGACGGTAGTTGACTCTCTTACTTGGCTCAACATACGGAGTCGGACGCTGCCATAACGTGCTTATTTATGTGTCACTTGGCCCCAAGCGCTTGCTGGGCTGGCTGGTGGCGAAGGGGGAGTTCGGGTGTCTGTAGGCCCTGCCTTCTCAGTGTTAAGGTTACCAGAACTGGAACGATCCCAGGGCAGTCTCATAAAACAAGAGTCTCTCTTCAAAACAGTTCATATTTATACAGGTATAGCTCTGTCTTCCTGGGCCAGGACACGAACAGCTCTTTTTGCCTCTGCTGATGCTTATAGCTTAACTGAGTAGCTAAACGGCAGTTACAGGAGTGGTCACGTTCCTTGGTGCTGTTGAAAATTTTGTGGGCAGCGACGACATTGTTGTACTGAGTTTAATCTATACTTAGAGGCGGTACAAGAAATTCTGAGTTCCGCACACTGTTGCTATTGGGACCGAGACAGCGTAGCTCTTACCATCGCATGTACTTCTGATTTTCTTGCTCCTATTTATTTTTAGTTGAAAGCTGTATCAAAACTATCCAGCCCTTTACTAGGCAAGAACCTGTGACGGAACTCCTGCAAGTATTTTTATTACTCTTTTGTGAGATGACTTGCTGAAAAAAATTGAAATAGAAGGATGTAATAGCTCATGTTTTCGTTGAACCCATCGTATTTTGGTATTACCTATGTTCCAGTAGTACTTATAAACCAGAGATGCTAAGCTCATTGCTGCGGTCAGTAATGCCCTGACGTTAAACGTTGATCTGTGTATGATCAGAAGCAATGAACTTCATGTTTAGTGTGTCTGTCGCTCTTTTTTTTCAGGCTGATGGAGCTGGAGGCGCGCAGACTGATGAGACACAGGGGAGACGGACCTTGGTATCATTATGAAACACCTGATAAAAATCTTGTTGACAATTCTATGAAATCCACACCTGACAATTAAACAATTTTCAGACGGTGTGCACGGTCTTAAATGCATACCGGTAAATTGTGAGTGAGCTATGTAATATACATCCTGCCGTTTACTGACGGAAATGAATAAAAATAAACGACGTTTGTGTTGATTCTGATAATTTGAAAGAAACTGCGTGGCACTTGAGCTCGCACAGCTGTTCAGGTTGTTAATCAGGGAAAAGGCCTTGTGTCAGCTGCCAACAATTACTCCTTTTCTCCAGAACATCAGTGTAGAATGGGCTTTGTGACCTGACATATGTGAAACAAGTTGGTAATATTAGTCTTCATCAGGTGATTTCTAGTGTTTAAAGTTTTAAATGAAAGGACCAGGAATCTGAAAGGCTTTTTTCTTTCACAATGCCTTGCATCAGATAATTTGTGGAAGATGAACTAAGTAAGAAAAATACCTTCAGATCTTTGGAATATCAGGATTATATCTACCACTTTGGACAAATACTTTCTTTCTCATTACTTGTAGTCAAAGTCATCTTTCACTGTTTTTTCCCAGCTTGCATATTGTTCAACATCTGCTATAATTTTCTCTGCATTATCTCAAAAGTTTCTCTCTGTAGATACCTGTTAATACCTTTCATCCCTAATAATGTCAGACGTGCTGGTCCTTCACTAGTTTTGTCACCAGTTTTAAACTTTTTTCCTCTTGTGTATGTGTAATTTATGCCTGTCTGCTCTTTCATTTTCTCCAGTCTCTCCTCCAATACAGTCTGTGTCTGTAAAAGACTTCTTGAAGAGCCTCTTTAAAAAAAAAAAAAAAAAAAAAAAAACAAAACAAAAACAACAAACCAAACCCCCAAAAAACCCCAAAGATGACTGACTTCGGTGCATCTTTCAGAACTGGACACTTCTCTGTGTAGATCATCCAAAAAGTGGTCTTTCCAGAACGTCTTTCTACATTGTTCTGTTTTGGTTTGGGTTTTTTTCTTGGTTTTTTTTTAATGGTTTGTTTTTAAATGAGGTTTAAAAGCAGAACGGGTACTTTTGCTCTGATACATGCTTCCTATTGTATGTGGTAATAGATCTAAAACAGAGCCACATACTCCCTGTGGGGCAGAAAGGATCTTCACTGCTGAAAACGCGGTCAGTGCTCAGTAAATACGTTAATATTTCAGAAAACTCGTACTGAGGGGTACCTACCGTTGTCACATAATTTTCATGTTTTAAATATATGTCTAGTGGCATGGAGAATCGCAGGCCAAGTGGTTGTGGGGAGGATAGTCTTCAGAATTAATTTTAAGAAGGCTTTGGTTTTATTACCTCAGATCTCTCCTGTGTTTTCAGAAGGCAGAATTAAGACAGAAGTGCTTGCCTAGACCAATGACTATCTATATTGTCAGATGCGGGAGTAGAAAGCAAAGGAGAAGTTCTTAAACAGTTAGAAGCGTGTGGTGCATCTACATTCACATTTTAGTGATTTTAGGGGGTGCCAAGCCTTTCAGGTACTCTTGAAAACATCCCACAGTTCCTAGGCTAAAGTCTGTGCTCTGTCACGTAAAGCTTCTCGTGAGTAGGAAGAATCTAAGTGGACAAATATTAAACTAAGTATTTTCCTAGTAACTGCTGCGTATCTACCATTTTCAGCAATATGTTCTAGTTATTAACTGTTATTAACCAAGAACAAATTAAGAAATACATAAGGCGGATAAGGCAAGTTGCACCTGAGGACATGCACACACATACCTGCCGTGCGTTTTCAGAAACGTGCAGCTATTTTTCTACACCACTTCTGACAACTGACGTAAGGAATCTAGAGGGTACGCTCTTTATCTGGCAGGCTTTTGCCACTAGAGGGGTGCGTTTCCTCAGGTTCTGCCGGCCGTGGTATCCCTCTGGTTTTTATCTCCCGCAGGAGGGCGACGGAAAGAGCCTCTTACTGTTTGTGACCCTAAACTATCTGCCCGTGTTCAAAATTCCCACTTTTTTAAGGAAATAAGCCCAAGTCCTTTCGTAACCCAGATCATCTTGCGGTTTCAAACTGTTAAAACACGTAATGAATTTCTTTCTTTACGTTAAGTGACGCTGCGCAGCCTATTTTAAGCAAAGAACGCCTTGTTTGCTGCTTCCTAGCACTGCCAAACATTAGAAAGACTCTGATTTTGTATCCGTGCTTTGACTTGTCCTTTTTCTTTGAGTCAATCTTTCAAGCTAGATGCCTTGTATGTCTTACTATGGCTCTCACTGGTTATAAATGCCGAGTTAATCGTAAGAGAGGCCATTAAAAAAGCACAAAGCCTTCTCAGGCAAAATAAATCTGTCCGGTGACCCTGTATTTGTGTTTTTTATCCAGCATCCAGTGCTTACAAGTCTTTGATGTAATACCTGTTCTTGAATAAGTCTAAAGGGATTTCATTGGCATCACACTCTGCCCTCGGTATTTCACGTTGCTCCCAACGCTTAATTTTTTGCTGGAAGAATTGCTGAGAACAGACTGCGCCGGTCTGCTCGCTCTCCCAGCCGGTTTCTTCACAGCTGTATAGAACATACATTTTTCAACGTTGTTAATTGAGATTTTACTAGAACCACCTTTTGAAACCTCATTTTTGAGGTAAAAGGTGGTTTAGCAAAGGTCACATCACCTGCTTGGAAGTGATCGATGAATCCTTGGATGTAATGCGGCCTAGGGGTGGAAGGCTATTTGTCTACATTATATGTCTTCGTTTTAAATGGATCAGTCATTTCTTCAGCCCTGCTGCTGTCAGGCATATGTAATAGTTATAGAATCATAGAATAGTAGAATGGTTTAGGTTGGAAAAGCCCTTTTAGATCATCCAGCCCAACCGTTAACCCAGCGCTGCCAAGGCCACCACTAAACCAAGTCCCCAAACACCACATCCACCTGGCTTTTAAACACCCCCAGGGACGGGGACTCAGCCCCTGCCCCGGGCAGCCTGGGCCAGGGCCTGACAGCCCTTTCCGGGAAGAAATTAGATATTGCTTGAAAAAAAAATATTATTTCAATGTGTTTTTTTCCGACAAAGTTACTTCACTCTATTCCTCCTTCCCCCAACAGTATTCTTTCGACGTGAAAAGCGAGAGAAACGCGGCGAACGCTACGAAAGGCCGTTTTAAGCCACAGGTACCGTCCCTGCAGGCAGGCCCGGGTCCGGCCGCCTCGGGCCGGGCGCTCCCGCCCCGCGTCTCCCCTCA